TCCAACTCTGGGAACAGGAGGAAATCCATATACCTCCACAAAGTACGCCTGAAAATCAGGCATGTGAAGATTATTATGTTGTAACAACGACCCGTAATTCAAGCAGTCGCTACATTATCAGGCTTCCAATTAAGGAAACGTTTCCAGAAAAACCCACCCTAGGCCATTCCCGGTCTGCGGCATTCCAGCAATTCCTAAGCATGGAATGTACGCTTCAGAAGAAAGGGGAGTTAAAGACAATGTACAACGATGTGTTGTAAGAATATATAACGTTGGGCCATATGGAACTCTAACCCCCCCTGAAATCAATTCGTGCGGTTGTAAAACCAGATAAAGTCACGACGTAAGTGCGAGTGGTTTTCAACGCATCCAAACATCAAGTTCTGGTGATTCCCTAAATGATGTTTTACATACAGGTCCCTCATTCCAACCGAATGTTGCTAGTTTCACTATGGCGCATGTACAGATATGTATTCAATGGAGTCATTGAAAAATTGTTATCGTCCTCATCCTGGCCATTTCCGGCCACATCAATACTCAAAACCCAAACGTATGTTGATGATGTCCTGTCCGGAAGTCATGATATTTACAATGTCACCGATTCACTCTTCCAAGTGATCAAAGCGCTAAGGTCAGCTGGCTTTATTCTCAAGAAATTAGCGGCAAAAAATCCGGCCATATTGGAGAAATTCCCGATAGCAGACCTTCTCGACTCCAATTTCTTGAAATTCTCGGTATTCGATGGAACGCATTAACAAGCAAGTTCCCATACACCATCCTGTCAGTTTCAGCGACTACAGCTGCAACCAAACGGCAAATTCTGTGGTCGGTAGCAAAACTATCGCCAGTTATGATACGAGCAAAGATTCTACTTCAAGAACTTTGGCTCGATGGCATTGATTGGAATGAATGCGCAAGACCCACTTCAATGGTAAAATGGCAACAGTTTAGTCAAAATTTGCCAGCCATTTCCGATATCGAAATTCCTCGATGGCTCAATTTTACTCCGGAGCAGGATACCCAAATCCAAGGGCCCTGCGATGCCTCGAAAAAAGCCTTCTGTGCGACCATATATACGCACAGAAGCAAATATTAATGTAACATCCACCCTACTGGTTGCTAAAGGCAAAGTTGCACCTTTGAAAACGATAAGCCTTCCTCGCTTAAATCTGTGCGGAGCAGTACTGTTAGCAAAACTGACTGCCTGTCCAAAACCTCCTCGGTTTAGAAGCGTGCAACACTTTTTATGGTCAGACTCTGAAATAGTACAAGCATGGCTCGAAAAACCACCGAGCACATGGAAGACATACGTGTCTAATCGCACCTCCCAAATTCGGGAATATGTCCCAAGCGGAGTATGGCGCCATGTAGAAGATAACCCCGCTGATCACGGCACACGTGGTTGCGAACCCTAAGCCTTACCCACCAATTCGCTCTAGTGGCGCGGACCAAAGTGGCTCATACACCACATGGAATCTTGGCCTAATTCAAGAGCACGCAGTTCCTCTCCGCCAGAAAAGCGGAAAATTGAGGCATTTTATGCGCTCGAAGAATAGCCCGATTTTCTCGATCGATTCTCTTCCCTCCCTCGAGCAATTCGCGTGACTGCGTATATGTTCTGTTTCGTGAACAATGCCCAGAAGAAGTCAAAAATGCAACCGATAACTACCATGCCATATCGGTCTCATGCTGAATGCCAATTCGCAAAGCTGCGTCTAATCGAAGTATCGCAATCTCGCCATTTTCCTGGCGAAAAAGATGCGTTACAAAAGAAAAAGCCAATTGACAAAAAAACAAACTTGAATCCATTTCTGGATAAAAACGGACATCTCCGCTTCAATGGCAGAATACTTCATACCGAAGCTAAAGCTTTTAATAAAAAAAGCATTTTTCAATGCAAGGCTTGCACTCTATACAAGCAACAAACGCGCTCCCAGCTAATGGCCGCTCTACCCCCTGAGCGGTGCACTATGTCCCTACCATTTTCTGTAACTGGAGTGGACTTCGCAGGACCGTTTTTAATAAAGGCCTCAGTTTTAAGATCCACAACACTCATCAAAGAGTATGTTGCCGTATTCGTTTGTTTCGCGACGAAGGCAGTACTTCTTGAGTTATGGTCTGATCTTACCACTGAGGCATTTAGAGCAGCATTCGCCGGATTTGTGGCAGGCGAGGATATCCCCCCAAACTGATGAGCGATAATGAAAAAACGTTCTTCGAACGAACGAATGATCAGCAGACATTACCAGAAGTATGCTCTTCAAGGCATCAATTGGCAATATATACCACCCAGCGCCCCACATATGGGCGGCCTGTTGGAATCCGCAGTAAAGAGTTTTAAGATTCACTTCAAAAAAAACCGCTTCTTCCCACAAACTCACATTTGAAGAGTTCACAACACTCTTAATTCGAATTAAGGCTGTACTCAATTCTCGGCCACTTTCGGAATTATCACAGGACCTAGCTGACTTCACAGCATTAACTCCTGGTCATTTCATTCGAGGCGCTTCGCTTTTAGCCATTCCCGAGCCAAATGCAGAATCACTCTCAATAAATAACCAATGGAAAAAAGTCAAAGCACTTCACCATCAATTCAGTCGCCGCTGGAAAGAGGAGTACCTCAAAGACCTCCAAAAGAGGTATAAATGGAAATTTCCACAGATCGAGCCTCAAGTCGGCGACTGCGCCGTAATCCGAGACGACGGTCTACCGCCGACCGAGTGGTGTCTCGGACGAATCCAAAATGCTCATCGTGGGCCTGATAATCACATCCGTGTCGTGGACCTCCGAACGCAAAACGGGATTATCACGCGGCCTTTAGTAAAACTGTGCTTCACTCCAAATGAGCAACATCCGCTTGAAGCACATCAATAAAAAGAAAATCTCCCTATACGCTTAATATCGTAATGTCAACTACCGATTTTTCCGTTTTTCATTTCCAGGCGAAGGACAACAATGGCAACGCGAATTGCAGTTCCTCTTGCACCGACCGCAGATAGCAAGAACTGTCTCCAGTGTCGTCTGTGCCACCGCTATCATGCTTTGCGCAATTACTCCGCGTTCCGAGTAATGCGCCCCCCTCAGCGCATCGCGGTAGCTTATGCACAAGGCTACTGCAGTAATTGTTTGGCGCTTACCCACGTCACTGTAGAGTGTGACTCGCTCGGGAGCTGTAGGCGATGCAACAAAGCGCATCATACAATGCTGCATCCGTCCGAGCCGCAAATTAGCGGGCTAGTCCGTAAAACAACGACCAAGACGATGAGGCAACTACATCATCGCTCCATACAGCAGCGCACCACATAGCAGCGCGCCATCCAGCAGCGAGCCACCCAGCAGTGTGCACCACAACAACGTGCAACACAGTAGCGCTCCACATCGTCACATGCTCCACCACCGCGCGCCATAAGAAAAAGCAGGAATGGGAGCCAAAGGTCGCGCTCACTAGGGTAAACGTTCACCGGACTAGAGACCAAGAGGTTTAGGAACCGCACCGCGAAAGGCGCCATCGGCGAAGCCATCCACGCTCTACAAAAACTGCAGAACGCACTGTCCAACGCGTCCCTGCAGGGAGGGCAGGATGTCTAAGCGCCCAACATAAAACCATAATGTAAACGCCGCGCGGGCCACTTCCGGTTTCCCATTCTTCCGTGTCTCCTTTCACGCGGCTATCCTTCTTTCCGTGTATACCCTACTTCTTTAGCCGAACTATCGTTTAAACAGCGGTAGTTCGAGCTAACAAAAAAGGTTATACTTTGACACAATCAATCCAACCACCTAGCGCGTGTACGGCGTATTTTATCGCAGAACCTTTGAGTGCAGTCAATTATTATAAGAATAACAAATAAAAAAAAGCTAGTGAAATAGCTAAGTACGTTAATTTATATCCCAAGCGATAAACAAAACATATTAAAATATAATTGATCAATAATGTAATGAAACTTTGAAAAAAGCCACAGATTTTCACTCGAAACTAAATAAAAGTGTTAACGGACTCCTGGTGAATGGCATTCAGCGCCTGTGTGTACACCGTTATTGTTGTTGCTGTTGTTACCGTAAAATTATTCCGCAAAGTAATTTTTGAGGAATGTTGCGGGAGTGACAGGATTTACTCGGTTGTATTTTTAACTGCCATGTAGTGAAGAAATGAGAAAGATCGGCAAGGAAGCAGTTCTCTTTCGAACACAGGTCATCAATATTCTGGCCAGAAACCATTGTCACACAATCATCGGCATGCAAGCTTAGCGAAACTTCTTCTGGTGGAGGGGCGCAGCCCCCTGTTTAATTGTTATCGATGATTGTCGACAAATCAGGTAGCCCATGACCCCTGAAAAGTCAAGCGCCGCGCTGGTGATAAGCAGTTTGCCCACACGGTGGGTTACATGTCGCTTAATTTTATATACCGAAGGATGCAGTGTAAAAAGGCAGCTAAAAAAGCTCGCCCATCTTTTCGGCGGCAGCGGCAGCGATGACCCTGCTGAATGAACGCTCACCAGTCTGGTGTAGCGGGGAGAGCACTAAAGGAGTTCTTGTTTTAACGAAAGTATAAGTATACATAATTTACTAAAGCAAACAAACGTGAGAACAGATTTTTTTTGTTTTGATAAAGCTAACTAAACAAAATCGTTTTAAACGTTATAAGGAATTATTATTAGCGATATTTAAGTGTTCCGTGTGACTATATTAGCGTTTATTCGAGAATTACGGTTGGTCAAAAAAATTAACTTAATCAAGAAATTACTCCAAAACTATAAGATACTTCGACATATAGTTAAGTGACGTGTATGACCTTCTTTTTTACTCCCCAAAAGGAATATTTTTTCAAATCCTGGCGCACCCTCACGAAGCCGACCCAAATTTTCACATCATCGGCATATAACAAGAAATTTGAGTTCCTTATTACCGAAGATAGATCAGAATAACATAAATAGAATCAGGCCGAGAGGTAGTCATCTCCTGATGGTACGCTAACAAATTTTGATAAAACCCATCTGACATACCTTCCGTTCATAGCAACATATCTAATGAGAGCGCCATGGAAACACAAAGTTGTCACCGCTTGCCTATGCCGTTATACGGCATTTCCACGTCTGCCCAATCGTAATTCGCACTCCAAATACATGCCGATCTATTTAATTCGCCTTACATATTTTCCTGTTCAGCGGTTGCTGCACGTATTTCTGGATGGTGTTTTTTGTGTCAATTACTCTATTTCTGATGCGCCTAGGTGGTGGTTCAGCTTCAATAAGATGCCTATTGTGGTGTTCCCTACGGTGACAAACTTAATAGGAATTACTTGCACAGCAAAGCATTATGCTCCTTAACTCATAGCATAGATGCTCCACTGATGCATTCGGCGGCATCAGGAGGTTTCCTGTCGCTCTCTTGAGGGCGGTGTTCTGGCAGGCTTGTAGCTTCTTCATCAGCGTCTCGTTCGTCATAGGCGCCCAGATCGATGCAGCATAGTTTTCGACCGGCCGTCGAATGGCTTTGTAAGATGGCAGCAAAGTTTCTTTGTCGTTACCCCAGGTGCTGTCGGCTAGCGCTTTAATTATTTTTTTGCGGCTCTTGATTTTGCGGCTCTTGATTTTGCGGCAATTGCGGTCGTATGCAGAGTGAATGAGTGCCTGTATCTAATGTGACTCTCGACTCTTTGGGAATTTTTACGTCATCGAGCTTCACATCTAATTCAAGCCTGCACTCCTTCGTCCAGTTGGTGAAGAGGGTAGCCGAGGATTTCGTCGACTGTATGTATGTACTTTTTAACTGCCATATAGTGAAGAAGTAAGAAAGATCGGCAAGGTAGCAGTATACCGGCCAGACGCCATCATCACACAATCAACGGCATACGAGCTTAGGGAAAATTCTTCTGGTGGAGGGGGCGAGATTCGATATATAAAAATTGTAATCATGTAGCCCATGACGACAACCCTGCGGAATGAACGCTCACCAGTCTGGTGGAGCGGGGAGAGCACTAAAGACGTTCTCCGTTAATTCCGTGTAGACGAGCCAGTTAACTTTTTTGAAGTTAACAAATGTCCGGTGATTCGTGGAAACAAAGTCGGGAGGCCTGTCAGTCGAGATTTGTATGGGCAAGTGGTCCGATGCTAGTGTCAGTACAGGTCGCCAGATTGTACTCTTTATCAGACCAGCACTCGCAATTGTTATGTCCGGCCAACTTTGGCAATAACCCATTACTCTGGTGGGGGTATTATCGTTAATTGTGAAGAATGTCGACATCAGGAGGTTGTCTGTCGCCGCCCTGAGGGAAGTGGTCTGAGAAACCTGTAGCTGCTTCATCTACGTCGCGTTCGTCCCCAGTGCTCAGTTCGATGAAACATAGTTTACGACCGGCCTGGCCTGTCAACTGCTTTATAGATTGCCAGCAAAGTTTCATTGTCTTTACCTCAGGTGCTGCCGGCTAGCCCTTTGAGTATTTGTTTTTTGTTGAGGCTCTGGAGTTTTGCGGCGTTTGCATATACCGCAAAGATGTAGGATGTCAAATGAGACTCCCAACATCTTTGGTATATTTATGGTCGGAATTTTTACGTAATCGACCTTCTCATGTAATCCGAGCCTGTACTCCTACGTCCAGTTGGTGAAAAATGAGTTATAGCAGGTGAAAGGCGGCTCTATTCTCTCTCAGACACAGATGACTAAGCCTACCGCAAACCTCTAGTTTTTGATATATCTTAAACTGAAATTATAGAAATAATGGATTTTTATCATATTATTTTGTATGTAACACAATTACTTTGAATTCTAAAATGAAAATACAAGAATACAATTTGTGAACTATGAATATGTTTATAAGTAAAACAGAAAGAGGCTCTTTGCATATGAAGAGTGCAACTTTAAATTTTTATAACTTTTAAACCAAAAATTTGGCGCGCGCCAAATTTATATTTTGGATAATTTACCATTCCTGACTGGCTTTATACTAAAGTTTTCCCAAATATGTCTCTGTCGATATTCTTACTAAGTTTCATGTCGAAATTCCTGGTTGTTTGCTTGCAATATCAATGCAGCTGAAGACTAAAGTTCAGCTTCAAGGCACTTTCCTCCATACTAAATTTATTAAAAAATTTTACTTCCGCCGTTGTGCTCACCCAAAACACTTACTCTTCAGTTAAATGTCTTTTATAAAGAGAGAAGTACTTACGTGACACTGGTAACACCACGGTAAATATTGTCAAAAAAATTGCATTTGACCAATGCAAAAACAGGTACCCGCATATCAGAACACATGCCAAAAAATACCATTTTTGATGAGTATTTCCTTATGAAATATTCGACCAACTGGCCGTAAGATTGAATTTAGAATGTGGCCTTTTTACAAACAAGCGCAATAATACCGCAATTATTATTGGCTTAATGATTAATCCACAAAAAAAATTTCTGTGGGCTTCATATAATCAATAAACCGTAAATTCCCCGACACATTACAAAATAATTTGTTTGTAAATAAAGTAAATTTTTTACAACACAATTGCCCCATTTGTCCCCATCTCTCACATTTGGTATTTAAAAGCGAGCAGAACCGAACATAAATTCGTCCAAACTTCGCATTGGAGCGAATTCCAAATTGTGACTTGACAAAGCATCACTTATATTTGAGCAAGAAAAACATATTCAAATATTCAACCTTTAAATTTAGAAATAACACCAATTCCACACAAATCGTAGCACAAATTAATATTTATCACTTGATAGATTTACAATTCTATAATAGGGGCCTAATAAAGCGCTAAAGTGTTAGGCTGCAACTACCCATTTCACTTACCAAGCGTCCATAAGTGGCGACGAAAAGGCGAGATACATACACGAGTTATCGACGCTGCTGAGAGCGGCGAAATGCTGCCAGCTGACAGTGTGTTTGCTTTGTGTGTGTTCATAATTTTCATCAACGAATTTCATAATTTATTTGCTTGAACATAAACACAAGGCAAATATACATGATCTATATAGTAACAAATAATTAGTCACGCATTTATTTTTCATTTCTTTTGAACAAAACCAAGCATTATCTTCGATTATTTAATGTTATGATAAGAAAGGCTATACTGGCAACCTTCTATAATAACGGAAAGTCGAGCCGGTTTTACGGAAAAAATCAAATCTTCGTTGGTTTCTGCTGACGGTTGTCACTAACGGCTTGCCAACCGGTGATAACTTTGAGTTTACATGGCGCTCTCATAAGATAGGTTACTATGGACGGCTGGTACGCGTGTTAGGTAGTTGCAGCATTAGGCTGCAACTACCCATTTTACTCACCAGCCGTCCATAACTGACGACATCAGTAGTGAAATACATACACGAGCTATCGACGCCGCTGAGAGCGGCGAAATGTTGCCAGCTGCCTGTGTGTTTGCACACTTTTAAACAAATTCATAATTTTCGTCAACAAATTTCATAATTTATGTGTTCGGATATTAACGAAAATCAAAAATGTATTATCTATATGGTAACAAATAATTAGTTACGCATTTATTTTTCATTTCTGTTGAACAAAACAACGCATTATTTTCGATTATTTAATGTTACTTTAAGAAAGGCTATACTGGCAACCTTGTATAGCAACGAAAAATGAGCCGAGCCGGTTTTACGGAAAAATCAAAACTTCGTTGGTTTCTGCGACACAAACGTCAGCAACGCTATGGTAAATCGGTGACAACTTTGTGTTTACATGGCGCTCTCATAAGATAGGTTACTATGGACGGCTGGTACACTCGTTGGGTAGTTGCAGCCTTACGCGTCGCCCATTTATTGGGGCTGAATACTGTAATACAAAGTACACACGAAAGAGCGTGCTACGCAGCATATTGCATTGTGTGTACCTTGGCGATGTGGTGTTGCTACAATCGTTGAACATATATCAAAATATTTTGATTTCTAGTGGGCGGAACTTGCGGTTGTATATTTTGCATTATCGTGAGTATCATTTATGTACAACAAGTAGGAGTGTCTGCGGTGCAGATAAGAAATAACCAAAATAGCCTCAATACCTCAATGTTGCTGAAAGTCGAACTTTCGGTGTTAAAGCTTCTCGCACAAACTTGTTTTCTGTTATAATAAAGGCCCTAAGGCTTCCAAACCACTGTTGAAATACTCTGTGCTTCATCCGCAGTAGTTTTTAAAATGCATTTCCTATTGAAAAATGTATCTATTTTTGGGTACCACTGTTAACACCATCATTTTCTTCCAGTTGTCTTCCGGTTTTTATTCAAGTTTAATATTTCCTCGTCATATAAAATTTCATCCATCATTATCAAAGCTTCTATGTGGCTCATTTTTGCTGTTTCTTACAATATTCTTACAAAAAAAAATTGCATACAATAATAATGTCATTCCTATTCGGTACATTTGCTCCTCTCTCAACGTAGCTTCGGTTGTCGCGATCAGACACCTTTTAAGTGGACACCTTTTATCTTTCTTATAGGTCTTCCAAGAGTCTGTATTCTATACACGGTGGAGTTGGAATACCGCCGATTCGATATTATTTCTTTGGTTACCGCTATCGCCAGCTGTCCTCCATTGGAACCATAGTGGAATGCCTTAAGAACATCCGGTATTCTTAACTTCAAAAATACTATTTCGGTAGCTATGGTCTTCTCCATGCCGAATATAAACGTTAAACTGTCCCATGACGGCATTCTCCTTTACAGTTTGGACTTTCTGCTGGCATTTACTCATTACTTGGCCGCGTACTAATCTCAAATTCTTGCATTAGAATTTACAAGCCCATATCTTCGTGTTGACATTTCTCCCACTCTTTTTCTATTTAATTGTTTGCGTTTGAAGATTTTGAGTCTACAAGAACTGTCAAGTATTTCCACTGGCTGTTTATTGAGGTTAGTGTTTGAACTGCCATTTATTTTCGTTTGCAATAAATGTAAATATTTGGCGCTATGGAACAGCTCAAGCGATTTTCGGCCAAGCACCGTTTTTTTTTTTGTTTTAACGAACATGTATACTTAATTTACTAAAGCAAACAAACGTGAGAACAGAATTTTTTTGTTTTGATAAAACTAACTAAACAAAATCGTTTTAAACGTTATAAGGAATTATTATTAGCGATATTTAAGCGTTCCTCGTGACTATATTAGCGTTTATTCGAGAATTACGGTTGGTCAAAAAAATTAACTTAATCAAGAAATTACTCCAAAACTATGAGATACTTCGACATATAGTTAAGTGACGTGTATGACCTTATTTTTTACTCCCCAAAAGGAATATTTTTTCAAATCCTGGAGCACCCTCGCGAAGCCGACCCAAATTTTCACATCATCGGCATATAACAAAAAATTTGAGTTCCTTATTACCGAAGATAGATCAGAATAACATAAATAGAATCAGGCCGAGAGGTAGTCATCTCCTGATGGTACGCTAACAAATTTTGATAAAACCCATCTGACATACCTTCCGTTCATAGCAACATATCTAATGAGAGCGCCATGGAAACACAAAGTTGTCACCGCTTGCCCATGCCGTTATACGGCATTTCCACGTCTGCCCAATCGTAATTCGCACTCCAAATACATGCCGATCTATTTAATTCGTCTTACATATTTTCCTGTTCAGCGGTTGCTGCACGTATTTCTGGATGGTGTTTTTTATGTCAATTACTCTATTTCTGATGCGCCTAGGTGGTGGTTCAGCTTCAATAAGATGCCTATTGTGGTGTTCCCTACGGTGACAAACCTAATAAGAATTACTTGCACAGCAAAGCATTATGCTCCTTAACTCATAGCATAGATGCTCCACTGATGCATTCGGCGGCATCAGGAGGTTTCCTGTCGCTCTCTTGAGGGCGGTGTTCTGGCAAGCTTGTAGCTTCTTCATCTGCGTCTCGTTCGTCCTAGGCGCCCAGATCGATGCAGCATAGTTTTCGACCGGCCGGCGAATGGCTTTGTAAGATGGCAGCAAAGTTTCTTTGTCTTCACCCCAGGTGCTGTCGGCTAGCGCTTTAATTATTTTTTTGCGGCTCTTGATTTTGCGGCTCTTGATTTTGCGGCAATTGCGGTCGTATGCAGAGTGAATGAGTGCCTGTATCTAATGTGACTCTCGACTCTTTGGGAATTTTTACGTCATCGAGCTTCACATCTAATTCAAGCCTGCACTCCTTCGTCCAGTTGGTGAAGAGGGTAGCCGAGGATTTCGTCGACTGTATGTATGTACTTTTTAACTGCCATATAGTGAAGAAGTAAGAAAGATCGGCAAGGTAGCAGTATACCGGCCAGACGCCATCATCACACAATCAACGGCATACGAGCTTAGGGAAAATTCTTCTGGTGGAGGGGGCGAGATTCGATATATAAAAATTGTAATCATGTAGCCCATGACGACAACCCTGCGGAATGAACGCTCACCAGTCTGGTGGAGCGGGGAGAGCACTAAAGACGTTCTCCGTTAATTCCGTGTAGACGAGCCAGTTAACTTTTTTGAAGTTAACAAATGTCCGGTGATTCGTGGAAACAAAGTCGGGAGGCCTGTCAGTCGAGATTTGTATGGGCAAGTGGTCCGATGCTAGTGTCAGTACAGGTCGCCAGATTGTACTCTTTATCAGACCAGCACTCGCAATTGTTATGTCCGGCCAACTTTGGCAATAACCCATTACTCTGGTGGGGGTATTATCGTTAATTGTGAAGAATGTCGACATCAGGAGGTTGTCTGTCGCCGCCCTGAGGGAAGTGGTCTGAGAAACCTGTAGCTGCTTCATCTACGTCGCGTTCGTCCCCAGTGCTCAGTTCGATGAAACATAGTTTACGACCGGCCTGGCCTGTCAACTGCTTTATAGATTGCCAGCAAAGTTTCATTGTCTTTACCTCAGGTGCTGCCGGCTAGCCCTTTGAGTATTTGTTTTTTGTTGAGGCTCTGGAGTTTTGCGGCGTTTGCATATACCGCAAAGATGTAGGATGTCAAATGAGACTCCCAACATCTTTGGTATATTTATGGTCGGAATTTTTACGTAATCGACCTTCTCATGTAATCCGAGCCTGTACTCCTACGTCCAGTTGGTGAAAAATGAGTTATAGCAGGTGAAAGGCGGCTCTATTCTCTCTCAGACACAGATGACTAAGCCTACCGCAAACCTCTAGTTTTTGATATATCTTAAACTGAAATTATAGAAATAATGGATTTTTATCATATTATTTTGTATGTAACACAATTACTTTGAATTCTAAAATGAAAATACAAGAATACAACTTGTGAACTATGAATATGTTTATAAGTAAAACAGAAAGAGGCTCTTTGCTTATGAAGAGTGCAACTTTAAATTTTTATAACTTTTAAACCAAAAATTTGGCGCGCGACAAAATTTATATTTTGGATAATTTACCATTCCTGACTGGCTCTATACTAAAGTTTTCCCAAATATGTCTCTGTCGATATTCTTACGAAGTTTCATGTCGAAATTCCTGGTTGTTTGCTTACAATATCAATGCAGCTGAAGACTTAAGTTTAGCTTCAAGGCACTTTCCACCATACTAAATTTATTAAAAAAATTTACTTCCGCCGTTGTGCTCACCCAAAACACTTAATCTTTAGTTAAATATGTTTTATAAAGAGAGTAGTACTTACGTGACACTGGTAACATCACGGTAAATATTGTCAAAAAAATTGTATTTGACCAATGCAAAAACAGATACCCGCATATCAGAACACATGGCAAAAAATACAATTTTCGATGAGTATTTCCTTGTGAAATATTCGACCAACTGGCCGAATGTTTGAATTTAGAATGTGGCCGTTTTACCAAATAACGCAATAATACCGCAATTATTATTGACTGAATGATTAATCCACAAAAAACTTTCTGCGGGTTTAATATAATCAATAAACCATAAATTCCCAGACACATTACAAAATAATTTGTTTGATAATAAAGTAAATTTTTCACAACACGATTGCGCGATTTGTCCCCATCTCTCACATTTGATATTTGAAAGCGAGCAGAACCGAACATAAATTCGTCCAAACTTCGCATTGGAGCAATTTCCAATATGTGACGGTAATTATTTAGAACAGCGGCTTTTGCTAAAACTGTCCAAAAATGATGGGGTTTTTGGCTAAATAGATGTATTTGATGATTATCTTTTCATTAAAAGTGGGGGAAAGCTGAATTTTGCAATAGTTTTATTGTTATTAACATTTAAAGTTACACTAAAATCACTAGCACATACATTACAAACAAATACATGGCTAAAGCGATGTTGCCATATCTTACTTAAAAAAGAGTAATGAATAAGACAAAGTATGGCGAAAGCGACATTGCCATACTGTGTAAGAAACTTAAAAAGGAGTAATAAATAAGGCGGAGCAGGTGGTGTGGGTCCTGCATTGATAGTTTTTCGATTTATTGAAACGAATATAAGCGAAAATTCATAACATGAATAAAAAAGAAAATTCATATTGGCTTGCATGTAAAATAACATATAAATTAAACAGTATTTTTCATAAAGACATTTCATTTAAAAATACTGTGCAAGGCGAAGCCGGTGTT